CCAATCTGGTTGATGCCAATCGGGACCACAGGATTGGTCGTTTATTCTATTCTTGATTGGTTAGCCGGAAGCTGTACCGCGGTGCGTGAGTATTCGTTGCACGATCACCACACCAAGTCTCTGCACCGTAGAGCGCGGCAATGTACGGGTGGACCGCGGGTGACGACGGTATCGGTAACGGGTGGCAAAATTATAGAAAGTGGTTGAGAAAAACCGTCTAACAAGCGTTGCAACCCAAAATGTACACCGTCGTTTAAGGCGGGGCTTATTGCCACAGCGTCAATTGTTAATTCTTTGACAGAGTTAGTGCTGTTGAGGAGAAGGCGTTTGCCTGTGTCGTCCGTGAGACTATGATGTGCTACGAAATCCATACCAAGAACAGGAAAAAGGACTTCAGCAATCAAGAATGATCACTCAACTGCCTTGGAAAGACTGAAGTCCACAGTGAGGTTGTTAGCACCAAATGTACTTATAGTGGAACCGTTTGCTGCAGTTAAGGTGAGTGCTTGTGCTGGGAGACAATCATCAGTGGAGGAAGGCGGAATGACGCTCACTTCCGAACCGGTGTCCACGAGGAAATACACACCGCTAATGGAGTCCCTGACGTGGAAAAGGTGGCTACCAGTTGGCGTGCCAACGGGTGACGCCGTTATCCCTCGGCGGCTTAGCCTTTTCCCAAAATGGGTTGACCCTTCCACGAGCAAGAGTGGATGCATTTGGTAGCATCTTTACCGAAACGTGCGTGGTACCAACAGTACTTTTGACTGCTGTTGGGTGGCTTAGATCTCCGGCGATTGCTCGATGTTTATTTTGAACTGCAGAGTGTGCTCCGGGACCTTCTATCCATGTATAAGTCGTTTAATGTCTCAATGAAAGACTGGAAGAGGCCATCGGAAGACGTGACCGGAGGAACGACGGGCGTAACTGCGGCGAACATGGGTTGACGGTATTGCATGGCGTGAACTGCCATAACCGTCAAACGCTCTATGGGCATATCTTGTGTTGGCGCAAGAAGGAACTGAACGTACAGTGGGAAATGCTGTAACTACAATTTCCTAACGAAAGCATCATCATGTGGGATGTTGCCCATTTTGTTGCACATAAGTTGCCAAAGTTGCCAAGGTTTACGGTCACCGAAAGGCATGTCCTGAAGAATACGACGGATACGCTCTTTGATAGCGCTTCCTGTGTATTCAAGGATAGCGTCTCGTAAGGCCTCGAAAGGTCCATCTTCCAAAAAGTACGTCCAAAACCTATGGTACCAGGTGTTCTGGCAAAGATGAAATGACATGATGGAACTTTGCCTTTGAAGACTTAATGCTCCTTGTTGCACACTGCTATTCTAGGATTGCAAACCGCGCCCTAGGGTTAGATGCCCAAAACGGCGGAGGTTGGAAAGTGGCGACCAACACGGGAGAAGGTTCGTCAGATGAATGTAATAAATCCATAACGAAAAGAGCACTGAATAATCGTATAGAAAATATATAATCCCAAATGACTCTACCAAAAATGTAAAGTTTATATAGCGATAATGGCAAAATAGACATACCAAACAAAAAATCACTAATAATTTCTAAATGTATAGAAAAAGGTTCAAAAGTTCCAAACATATGGAACGGACTCCCCTAAAACTGGTGACTTCCAAGAAGAAGTCTGACTGTTGAATGCGGACTCACCAATTTAGTGACTAAGGGGGTTGCTGATGTTCGTCAGAACCTGTCACTAATGTTTACTCACGTTCTTTCTGGATAACTGTCCAAAGAGGAAATAGAACCGAAAATTGAAATTATAGAAACGTTATATTCTGAAACTTACGAAATTTCGGAAGTAAGTTTTGCTATGCGTACGCTGTTATTTCAGCAACGGCCAAGGAAACCTGAAAGTAGATCTGATCAGTACAAAGGATACGTGCGATACAGAGCTTACCGTGGGGGAATTGTGTCGGTGTGGTCTTTTTGAGCTCATTAAGTTAAAACAAAACTTAAATCTGAACATGTCCAAGTTGCAATATCTAAAAAATAAACTTTCTCTGGAAGATCACTATCACCAAATAATGGTGATATATGGTAAGGCTCAAAGGTACACTTGATTGTGCCTGGTGGAGAAGGTTCCTTAGATTAGAAGGAAAAGTATAACGGTGACCTATCTTCTGTAATAATTCTACGTGATCGAGGGGCTAAGTTGCTAATTGATATCTGAACCTTGATAGTTCTGGTAAGTATGCCATGGTTATGTGACCATGTCCAGATAGTCCTCGATTATATAGAACTGGTTGGAAAGTAAACCTGTCCTGCTGCTGGTCACACCAGCATAGGGTGAAGGTGCTTCTGATCTGTGATTCGATGATCACATCCAGCTTGAATGGATCTATCAGGAAACTTAGAGCACAGCAAGTGACAAGAAAAGAAAACTGCCGTTGCGAAACTGTCGGTTGAAGAACAGCTACAGAGTACCTCAACCAGATTAGAGCAATCAGAATGCACGAGCTCAAACTGATAAAACTACTGCCTAAAATTAAGCTGGAGGTCTGCTTATTAGAACGGTTGGAATAGTTTATCGTCCAGTGTAGCAGTAGTGACGCAGTCCCTCGTGAAATTCAAATGAATTTTGGAGTTGTTATCGGAGTACGACTGTCTGGAAACACGCTCGTGATTGAATGCTTCGCCTTTCAACTCGACACAATTTTCGCTAACCGCATACACGCAAAACTACACCAAACTTTCGCGGAGGTGCTGTGCTTGTTAAATGATGGACAGTGTGGATATCTCGAAGATTCAACATGTACTACACAACTGCCGAACCACCGATTAGTGAGGATCAACAGCTCAGAAATGCAGCAGACTGCGTGTACCTTGGCGAAATTAGAGAGTTCCATCAATAAACCAAACCACGCGCGAACCCGACTTAAAACAGTCCATACACGGCAAATGCTTTTGAGGTTAAGTGGAGCTGATCAAAATCCCTCGAGCATTTTACGACCACCACCAATGGAGGTTAAGATTTGGTGCCAATTGATCGAGACGATACCCCACTTGACAATCTGTTGTAATTAGAACGACTCCGAATACATGGCGATAGAAGGAGAGAAACTGATCAATCGCCAAAGGGGAAACAAATCGCTGAAGCAAGTCCGAAAGCTCGATTGACCGTGGGCACCAGCAGCAACCTGACAAAAGCACTCAACGCACAAAAGAGTTTCGAAGCATACACTGCGCTACAGTTTCCGGTTCGGAGTCTGTGCATGACTAAACAAAGATGGAGTCAATCACATGTAAGAAGCGCGAATGTTTCAACGGCTTAGTTATCCTCCGACCGCAAGTTTGGGAGAAGATTAACAGAAATTGATAGATAATATATGTGCACGATCTGATAAAACACAGAGTTTCCATAACGTTAAGGCGAAAGGTGGTTTTTAAGGGATAGACTGAAATTGAGTCATTTGCACGATAGGAATCGCGGAAAAGGCAAAAGCGGGGACGGGCCCATAACGTAGTCGGGGGAAGGGGGGTCGGACGGGATAGGTAGCGCAGGCACAGTGGAAGCGATCAAGGGGGGGGGGATAGAAATAGAATACTTGGTGCTCGAATATCACAAATAGTCGAGCGGCAAAAGAACCAAGAGAAAAAAACCACAAACAGGCATGAA